GAAACGTAAAAGTCCCTCTGCGCACACACACGTGCTCACGGGACAGAGGTCCCCACATTACAGGTCCTCCTCAGTGAGGAGGTGACACAGTCTGAACAGCAGACCCGCCCCTTATATCACTCACTAGGGCTGTCATTTCACTTTGCATCAAGGAAATCTGAGGCTCAGCCAAGGAGCACCCCAAGTCGCCCAGCCATTACATCGCAGAACCTCAACCCAGATCCAATGCCATGGTCCACACTCAGACTCAACCATGAGATGAGCACTCATGTGAAGGGCGGACATTTATGGAGAGAAAGACCTTAGCCATGGCCTCGCGCCTAAGAGCAGAGAACATTAAAAAGACCTGAAGTGGTGAATTCCTCCACCCTCAGAAGAAAGCCCTCCACAGCAGCCCCAACCTCAATGTCATGGTCCAGTAGTGCACTTACCTATTTACTCATCTGTGCTCTCGGAGGTCTGATGGGCATCTAGCCTTCTTTTTGGCTATTCTGTCTGGGATTGCTTTTACAGGTAAACGTTCCACTTTATGAATCGTATATGGAAGCAGAGACCATCACTTTTTGGAAATCCACAATGCCAGACAGTCCCTTTCACAAAGCAAAGACAGGTGGCCCAGGTCCATCATTCATGTCCCCACCCTGGCTGGGACTAGAAAGCCAGTCATCGAAAAGCTTGGACATCACACAGGCTGCCCTGGGGGCAAGGGATACCATGGGAGTGACAGCCTCCCTTTTCCAGGGGCTGCAGTGGAGGGGGCTCTAGAAGCAATAGTCCTTGCCCAGTACCAGGGGTCCCAGTGGGGCAAACAGTAGATCTGGGGCCACGCAAAGCAGAGAGTGAAATAGTCACGGGGTCCGATTTTAGACATGGGTTTTGGCATAGTCTTCAAACATGAACCTGAAGTTCTGGAAATTATCTAAGCTGCTTAGTACCTTCTCATGCTCGCATATTACTCCTCTGCTGAGATTTGCCAAAGCCCATCGCTATAGCTCACCACCCAGATTAGCTGTTATGTATTCTTATTCCCCAAACTGCAGCAGAAAATCATCTTTCCTAGTAATACTAGCTACTGGTTTAAAACTCAGTCTCTTTCAAACCAAAAATGTAGTCCAGTTCACGTGGTGCTCTGCCCAATATGTTCCTTGCCTTCTCTGGTCTTCTTGTTATGGGTCCTGATGCCACAGCTTGTGTGTATGTGTCACCAGGCAGCAGCAGGGAGGGACAGGAGGTCTGCTTAGGTGAGTGGCAGTGTGGTGGAAACAGAACCCATTCTCCTGCTGCGTGCCACCCTGAGATGGTTTGACCAAATCCCCTCAGCCTCTGCTGGGGAGGTCCTCTCACTACCCACCACACAGTGTGCATGGCCCGTGAGAGGATGGGGTTCACAAGAAGAGCCAACCTTCTGTGGAACCACATCATTCCCCAAAACTGCAGCATCCTGTGCCCCCAGGTTAGCTCCATGGGAAACAGGCAGTGGTTTTGCTCCTGCCCTTGTGTTGGGGAAGCTGCCCTGACTCCAGCGTCCCATCTTCATGCCCAGCCATCCTGGTGCTCACAGAGCTCCTTGGGAAACGGGCACCAGTCTTTTCTCTTCAGAGTCATGGCCAGACCTGCAAGACACTCTCTGCTTCCTCCCCCCTGCAGCTCCGCAGCTAGAATCACCTGGGGCACGGGCAGGGGCACCACAATTCAGTGGTCCTCAAAGCGAGACCGCCAGGCCAGCAACAACTGTTTCATCCCGGAACGTGTTGGAAACGTAAATCCTGTTCCCCACCCAGACGTGTGAAGTCAGAAGCTCTGGCGGGGAACCCCGCAGCTTCCATCATCACAAGCCCTACACTGCTGCCCCTGCAGCCATGACGCATCCTGAACCTGTGTCTCCAGTGCCTCTTCCTCATCACTGACGTGCTTCTGTCCCAAAGCCTGCTCTCCAAGGTCCGCTTTGCCTAACTGGGAAACTACTCCCGCCCCTTGCATCTTGGTGATAATCAGGAAAGAATGACTGCTTGGGTGTGGTTGCATTTGAACTTGGCACTGTGGAATACTCAGCACCCATGTGCATGCGTGGGCACATGTGTGTATCTGTGTGTGTGTATGCATGTCACACAGTGTCAGAAAGGACAAGGAAGCAATACTCATGTTTCAAGCTCTTGCCATGAACTAACCCTCTCAACCTCCCCAATTACATCTCCTTTAAGCTCACCTAAGAAGTCCTGCATTCCCCTCTTCCTGCCCCCAACCTGCCCCAGATCTTCTGACACAGGTCCTGTGACAGTACCTGGATATTCAGCAAGCTGGCTGAGCATAAAGAAAGCTCTTGAGGACATTTTCTGGAACCTGAGTGGAACTCCCTTCCCACTTTTCTCTCCAGAGAGGATCTGTCCTCTCCCTCCCGTTGTGGGGATACGAGTAGGGATGGGGGTAAAGGAGGGAGAAGGGTGTGCCACAGGCAGAGGCTACTTCACACCCTCTTTCCAGCAGGTCCTCCAAGAGCAGGGGAACTTCCCAGCCTGCTGGTGAGGTGAGCGCCTTGCCCCCCCCACAGGAGCAGCCCCCTTCTGCGGGGCTGACCATGAGGAAATGAAGCTGTGGCTTGGACATATCTAGTGAGAAGATAGAGAAGGACACGACGTGGTCAGAACTTAGGTTACATCCATCAAGGAAGGAAAAGGGGAGTTAGATGTGTGCAGGTGGGTGTTGGGGTGGCTGATACAGGTCACTGAAGTCCTCAAGGTTGAAAGTTCATCTAATAAATGCCCTTGGTAGCCCCAGGGTTCTGTAGCACCCAAGACTAATTTCATTTGCAACATGAGACAATATATGGAAACAGAGAAAGTTGAAAGAAGCTTTTTGGAACTTGTAACTGCAAAAAGCCATTGTGCACGGGCAGTGTGGAGAAAAACAATTGGAATCATTTCAGGCTCTGAAAACTTATAATTACAGGTGAGTGGCTATTATGTTATTGGAACAGCCATTATAACTGAAAGGTACAATTTGTGATAATATATGTGAGGACATTAATACACCATCAGATTTTTACAGCACGAGCATCACAATGCATCCAATTTCAAATGAAAGGTTACCTTCCTGGATTTTTTTCTTGATTCTAAGCCTCTATTTTTAAATAGGGCATTCATGTGAACTAATGGCATCATTTCTAAAAAAAAAAAAAATTACAATAATTTTTCTTGTGCATTTTTCACTACCATTAAAAGTCCCCAGGTCTTTAACATTTTAGGAAAATAACCAAAATCAAAATTACCCATCAACACATTCTCCACATGACTGTCACCTCTAAATTACTTTTGCTAATTGAATAGAGCTATGGCTCGGATAATCCAGAGGGAGGGCAATGTGGAAATTATCTTTATTTACACTTGGAATTTACATTTAAATGAAAATGAGTTTGATGCTTTGGAGGTTTCTGAACCCTGCCTGAGCTTCCGCACCCCCCACAGCAGAGCGAGAAAAGATGAGTAACAGAAGGAGCCCCTGAATTCTGTTCTGGACGCTGTCACCTTGACATCGGGCAACAGGCCTGTTACCCCTGGGCCTCAGTGTCCTCACGAATCACAAGGATAATATCCCAAAGACAAAGGTGAAGGACAGTGAGGGGACATGAAGACATGTGCACCGAGGAACAGAGGCGGAGCCCTCTCCACATGAGTGGCAACTTCCTTTGGCCACGCTCCCCATGAAATGTTGTGCTATCTCTGGACTGTGATTGAGTGAAGATCCCAACATGGGATTTCGTGGGCAAACTCCCTTTGCCATTTCCGCACAGGGGTTTCTGTGCCTCCCTGACTCTTCCCAACCACCCTAGAACCCCTAGCTAAGGGGTGACCTGTCCACTTGTGGGAATCACTGAAAAATTAATACTAATAATCCAACACTTGCCTGAGTACCTACCTACTTTGGGATTGGGCGAATTATTGGTGAAACTGCCAGTGGTCTACGCCCTTGGCAGTCTCGCTTCTCAAATTGTTGTGAAAAAGTCTAGGTGAGCTCAGTGTCCAACCAGTGATAAATTCTTGATATGTAAGCTTCACCATGTCAGAAGCCTGCCAATGTACCCATTCTCTAACTTGCCTTGTCAAAATTCCTTTCAAAATAGCATGTGAGTTTTCATGGTTGTGCAAACACTGGCCTGAATAAAGCTTTTACTGTTGTGCCTATTTTGCATATTTTCTTGGGTTGAGCAAACTATTTAGTTTGCTCCAGGCTTCGCTGAGACACTAACACCCAGAAACTAGCCTCGGTTTTTTTAGTGCCTTTCTCAGAGACATTGACAGATTGTAGCTTGTGGGTAAGACTAAAAGAGAACTGTGGCAATATCCAATTTCATTACATAAGCCACAGTCATAGAAACCTGATCTAAATAAAAGCAGAGAGGATTTGGGCAATAATACTGATTGTGGATGATTATGAACTAAAATGGCCTTTTGTCCCGTAAACATATAAGTATATTGGAATACATCGTGTTTCAGGTTTGGTATAACTCCGTATATATGTCTCCTGTATGAAATTAAATACAGGAGCGATCCAAAATGCAGAGTAGATAAAGACTGTGCCTGCTTCCTTCCGTGAACACATTAAAATTACAACTAAATTATAGAACAATCAACCTGGAGAACCAGCTGAAGTCTAGTTGAACAGAAGTTTTATAACTAAGGCTATAAAAATAGAGGCTGCATCCAGACTGGTAGGAGCGGCGGAGACACAGAATGGGCCCCACACCTCCATGTGGCAGTTGAGAACCAGAAGAGACATATTGGCTGCAGGGGTTCCCCCTCGCCCCCCACAGGGAGTGAGAGACCCCAGCCTCACACAAGGCTCCCCAGCCCAGAGCACTGGTTCTGGGAAGAGGAGCCCCCACAATATCTGGCTGTGAAAAACAGTGGGGATTCCAACATCCAGGTGGAGACAGAAGGCTGCAGGAAACTCAGGCGTCCTCTTAAAGAAACAACGTACAGATTCACTTGCTTGCAGGCACTCACCTTGGGCTCTGGGGGAAAGACGGTGACTCGGAGAGTGTCAGAGGCATACAGGGGGGCAGACCAAGGTGTGTGGCCTCAAGGAGAGGACTGGAGGACTGTCAGCATTTTCCCTGTGAGTGGGCTTCCTCTTGTGCAGCCGGCAGGCAGGCGCCATCTTTCCTGTGTTGAGCCCGCCCCCTACGTTTACAGCCAAATCTGAATCTGATTCATCTGATGAGCTCTGCTGCTCCACTCTGCTGAGTCACTGGGACCCTGACCTCCCATAAACCCTGAGTCACTTTCTCTGTGAACAGCCAGCACTGCCCACATTGCTCTATTTCATGGAAAACTATCTGAGTCCACTGGCCCCAGGCAGGAAGCAATTGGCCTTGGTTTGCTCTGAGACTTTTGCTGAGTAGCTCCAGGCTCAGCACTGGCACCAAACAAGAATTTACATTAACCTGGTGACCACAACTTGTCCAACTCTAGTGACTCCCTGAGACCCAGCCTCACCTAATTCTAGTATCACATAAGGCTTTATCAGTGGCTGAACCTTAAGGAAGCCAGCAGGTAGCAGCAGGCCTTGGGGTATCCTGGCTTTTTGTGAAGCTATCCCAGGGCTGTTACGTGCCAGACATCCTTGATTTGCAACATGGCCTCTCCCACATGCCTCCAGGTTTATCATAGGCAGTGAACAAACCTTTGTTACCTCAATAAATTTTAATTAAAAAAAAAAGAATGTCAGCTGATTTCTCAATAGAAGCTTTGTAGGCCAGAAGGGATTGGCACAAAATATTCAATATGATGTTACGCAAGGACCTACATCTGAGGGTACTCCAGCCAGCAAGGCTATCATTGAAAAATCAAAGGACAGATAAAGAGCTCCCCAGACAAGAAAAAGCTAAAGGAGTTCATCCCACCAAACCACTAGTACAACGAATGTTAGGGGGATTTCTTTAAAACAGAAAAAAAACATCAAAATTATGAATAATAAAATGGCAATAGCTACATATCTATCAACAATTACTTTCAATGCAAATAGATTAAATGCTCCAATCAAAAGACATAGAAGGGCTGAATGAATAAGAAACAAAACCCTTACTTATGCTGCCTACAAGAGAATCAATTCTGATTGAAAGACACACACGGATAGTAAAGGGATGGGCAAAGATATTTCATGAAAATGAAACAAACAAACAAAAAGTTGAGCTAGCAATACTTATACCAGAAAAATTAGACTTTAAAACAAATGCTAAAACGAGACAAACAAGGACCCAGTAATCCCACTTCTGGGTATTTATCCAAAGAAACCTGAAATGCTACTTCGAGGAGATATGTACATCCACATGTTCATTGCAGCATTGTTTACAGTGGCCAAGATGTGGAGGCAAACTATGTGACCGTTGATGAATGGATAAAGAGGAGGTGGTACATATATACCATGGAATATTGCTCTGCCTGCGACAGCATGGATAAACCTGGAGGGTGTTGTGCTGAGTGGAGTATGTCAGACATAGAAAGACAGATGCAATGTGATTTCACTTATAAGTGGAATCTAAAGAACAAAATTAACAAACAAAAAACCCAGAAACACATTCATAGATACAGAGAACATTTTGATGGTTGTCAGATGGGAGGGGGTTTGGGAGTGGGTGAAAATGGGGAAGGGATTAAGTACAAATTGGTTGTTACACAGCAGTCATGGAAATGTAGGGTACAGCACAAGGAATGTAGTCAATAATATTGTAATAACTATATATGGTGTCGGATGGGCACTAGATATTTGGGGGTGATAGATGAGAGTGAGCTGGGAGGCAGGGTGAAAAAGATGAAGGGATTAAAAAGTACAAATTGGCAGTTACAAAAATAGTCATGAGGATGTAAAGTGAAGCACAGGGAATATAGTCAATGATACGGTAATCACTATGTATAGTGCCAGGTGGGTACTAGACTAGTCAGGGGGATCACTTCGTAAATTATACAAATGTCTAACCACTATGCTATACACTTGAACTTAATATAAAATAATATTGACTGTAAACTGCAATTGAAAAATTAAAAATGGGGTGAAAAGATGAAAGGGAATAAGAGGTCCAAATTTCTAGGTATAAAACAAGTCGTGGGGATGCAATGTACAACATAGAGAATATAGTCAATAATATTGTGATAGCACGATACAATGTCATATGGTTGCTGGACTTATCATGGTGATCATCTCTTTAGGTACATGAATTTTGAGTAACTATGGTATATCCCTGAAAGTGATATAATATTGTATGTTACCTATATTTTTAATAAAAATGTTTTTAATATTAAATACAAAAAGCCCCAAATTAATTTTTGATAATCTAAATTTTCTTTCTGTGAAAATCTTTTCACATTTTGATATATAACTTAATTTTTAAAACAATATTAAAATTGTATTGCTCATGGTTTTCTTGAGCTATATCAAGCTGTAAGCATTTTTCCATGAGATAAGGACAACTTACACATATCAATAAATGAAGAGTAAAATCAGAGGCAAAGACAGCCTAAAAATATGACCTAGGGAATCTCTTCAAGACTGTATTTTACACTCTACCTGCAAAGAATAAGAGATGTGTTGGAGGCACACATTAGTAGGCATATGTGCTATTTAATGAAGGGCTTTATCTTGTGAAGTAGTTCTATCAAATCTTAGTTTAAAATAATTGTGTATTATTTAGAAAGCATCTATTTCAAAATAAAACACTATAGCCTGCCTACAGTGTGACACATATGTTCATTTTTTAATGTGAAATCACACATGAAAGGGAAAAAAAACCATTCTGAACAAAATACAGAGGGTGACAAAAAAATGTATACACATTTTAAGAAAAAAAAACCTATTAAAATTATAATACTCAATATACTCATATACCAATAACAAAAGATGAATGCAAGTCATGTGTATACATTTTTTGGCATTCCCGGCATTTAACCACGGCTGTGTGTGTCGTGGGTGACATTCCCAGGGAGAAATGGATTCCTTACTTGTACTGGTTGTCCGGGTTCCGCTGCTGTGGTCCAGGTCCTCAGTCACTCATCCTCGGGTCTTAAGCACCTTCTCTGTGACGGTCGCTATAGAATAGGGACTATGATGGGACCTCTCAGCTCCTTACTAACTTTATGCATCAGTGTGATGGACGACAGGGTGCCCGGATTAAAGATTGAATCTGGGTGTGTCTATGAGCGTGTGTCAGGATGAGGCTAGCATTTCAGTCGGTGGACTCAGTACAGCAGACAGCCCTCCCCAGCGTGGGTGGGCATCACCCAGTCTGCTGAGGGCCTGGGTAGAACAGAAGGTGGAGGAAGGACCAACTTGCCCCCTTTTGTTTTTCTGCCTCACTGATTGCGCTGGGATATCTCATCTCACCTGAGACTTATACCATTGGCCCCCCTGGTTCTCGGGCCTCCGGACTAGGGCTGAATTCACCCCTGGGTTTCCTGGGTCTCTAGCTGACCCATGGCAGATTGTAGGACTGCTAGTTCTCCATAATCACATGAGCCAATTCCTCTAAACAAACAAACAAATATATATATATATATATATATATATATATATATATAAATGCCTATTGGTTTTTACCTCTGTCTCTGGAGAACTATGACTAATACAAGGACACAGAAACCAATAACAAGAACACCTGGAACTATTCAATTCTCTTCCACGTCCTTCTCTCCCTCATTCACACTAGCTCACTCCTGGATGACAGAATTCCTTAACTAGTGTAAATAATTAAATGAGGTTTGTTCAACTACTTTAAAATTTTTTACATGTGAGAGGACAGATAATTAAGGTATAAACAAAAAATGCAGCCTTGCTATACAACCAAGAAACGTATTCTTTTCCAAACATACACATTAAAGATGAGAAAATTTTGTTCTCCAAACCTTTAGAAGGGAGAGTCTGTCTTCTAGCCACAGTCTTATAAAAATAGTCTGTGGGAGTGGCAAACACTGTTCCCGAGGTCACGCCATTGTGATCACATACTCTTTAAACGCGGGCTTACATTCACATGTGACATTCCATTTTCAGAACGCATTTAATAGGCAATATGGCAATGTTACAGAAATACTTTCAAAGCATGTGCACTCATAATGTACAAATAACTATGGTGCAAATTAGCTGAATTATTCATTGAGGTGCAGTGCCAACCAACATTATCTAGACTTGAATTCCTTAGCAGGTTTAGTTCATTTTTCAAAAAACAGAATAGACAGTTCCTTAGGATGCCTGAGTGCCCACTAAGTTTGTGTCTATATGATGCTAAAGCCTTTGTGGGGAAAATGAAATAGTCAGCCAGTTATCCCCCATGTTTGTACATGGCCAATATATCCGGATGAAGACTCAGGACAAAAACAACCAGTTGACTGACAACAATGTTAGGGTGAAGCCTGGAAAACAAGGTGCATTTTTGACAGTTTTATAGAATGGGTCTTCGGGAAACTCATGACGTATTTTGTCTATGTTTTTCAAAGGTCATTTATTTATATAAAGAACAAAGATCAATCAATGATATATTGCCCACTTTGTTCGATAACCTTTTCCCATCTTTCAGTGAGCTTCATAATTCCTTGTTCATAGAAAGGCCTGTCTTTATTTGTGAAAAACTGAACACGGTGCTGATTTACAGCCTCATCTGAATTGAACGTTATACCACGTAAGGAGTTATGAAGAGAGCGAAACAAGTGGAAGTCTGACGGTGCAAGGTCAGGCGAGTATGGTGGGTGTGGCAACACATCCCATCCAAGCTCCAATAATCTTTGACGGGTGGTCAAACTTGTGTGTGGTCTCACGTTTTCACGATGGAACACAACTCCTTTACAGTTAACAAGCTCTGGAAGTTTCCTGATGATGGATTCGTTTAAACTGTCCAATTGCTGACAGTACACATTCAAATTGATTGTTTGGTTCCTTGGTAGGAGCTCAAAAAACATGACATCTTTAAAATTCCACCACACTGAGAGTATAACCTTCCTCTGATGAATGTCTGCTTTCGATGTCGTTTGAGGCTAATCATCACGTGGGGACCAAGACTGTTTGTGCATCACACTGTTGTAAACAATCTACGTATCACCAGTTATCAGTCACTTTAAAAAAGGATCGTTTTCCTCATGTTTAATGAGCATATTGCAGATGTTTATA